TTAGAAGTTATGTGAACTTGTGGCACATTTATTGGCTCTATGCTGTGACAACAACGACCATAAAAATCACAGGATTTACTGCTGTGTTCAAATCTCTGTCTCCATCAAACAAACACATATTCATCATATCACTGAAGGAGCAGGATTCTGATAAATGTTAAATTTTGATTTATTTTATCGTCCAAAGAAGAAAGGAAATAAATACAGCACTGTCTTGTGATAAGAAGCAGCAGCACAGCTCTATTTCTTATTGAGCTATGAGCTTATTGGGATACTCGCAGACCCATGAAAGGGCTGGGGCTCAGCTCAGTAAATATAACCTCTAGAAAATTAACTTGAATTAACATAAAGCTGCACTAGTCATGACATTAATTATACATCAATTTTATTATTCTAAATTAAAAAATTGGGCTGTAACTGAAGAAAAACAACAGCTTCAGTAACACAGCAAATATGCGTGTTTATGTGACTTTATGAGATATGACTTTTGACTGTAAGGAGCAGAGGATGAAACCGTGTGACATTGTTGTCGAGCCACAACATCCACAAAGGAAAAAGGTTGTGAAGAATGGACGGGTTAAGAAAATGATGCACTTTGATACAAGAGCTTGCGTTTCCCTTTCTGTTTTCCCTCAGCTAGTCCAAGTGGTTGCTTTTTTTAAGTGGTTCAGAAATCTACTTGCCCAAAGTAAATTTTTACTGGCCCCCTTTTAACCCCCTGAGACCCTGTGTCCTCATATGAAGACATTACATTTTGAATTTACTAGACCTTATACTTCATTCTGCTTGACTTAGATCTGTTGTCCTAATTCATGGACACTTTTTTTGTGCCATCTAGTGGTAGTAAGAGCACAATACACTAATCCATGTAAAAACAAGATGGCAGCCATCTCTGCCAAGTCAGTCTGTAGCCGATCCTGAGACCAAAGTGGACATGGTCCAAAACCTGATCACATTTTATGACTGAAACTTGTTTATTTATGGTTAATTATGTTTGTAGTTTGATATGGCAACAAATTTGACCAATTTTAGCGACAGACAAGATAAGACGTTAATTTGAGAGTACCCGTTTGCAGACATTGGGAATTTTTCATCAGCTCGTTGAAGGACATTGGGACTTTATTATCGTCTCGTTTGAGGACATTAGGATTTTCTTGTTGTTTTTTCTAAGGACACTGGGACATAATTGCTGCTGGGCTCTATTGTCATTGACAATGTTCGTTTTTTTTATACTTATCAGATACTACTGATCCCAAATAGCTAGGAGAAAGTAAAAATGCATACTAAAAAAAAAAGACTGGGTCTCAGGAGGACATAGCGGTTATCAAATAACAACAATAACAAGACTAAAGCTACCATGCATGTGAGATGCTGTAAACTCCTCAGATTTGTTTTTCAGAATTTTGACAAGCCTTTCAGAAATGACTGCTTTTTTTTTGCCTTGCTCTTAAACTTACAGCAAACTGCGCAATACATAAAGTTTGCCCCACATCCTAGCCTGAGTGTCAGACTGAAGCTCCCAGAACCTTCAGTCTGACATCGCCTCCATTGAAGGCGATTTACAAGGGGGAGGGAATTTGATTTTTCCCTAACCAATCAGTAGAGATCAACGACTCACCTAGAATCTGACGTCATTAGTATCCATGCCTCGGGGGTGCTGAAAACAAGTGAGCATTGCCCATTTAAAATGTCTCCGTCGTCGTGCACGCCCAGCTGCATCGCTGTTAAATCCAGTTTAGCAGCTTCCTTAATTTGGTCCTCCATTAACGCGAGTAGTGGCGAAATACCTCGATAGTATCGTTAATGTGGTCTGTAGGATCTGCAGCGGTTGCCATTAGCGTGGCGCTGATTGGCTAATCGCTAGTCCCGCCCCCACCCCCGGCGTTCATTGGTCCGTCCATCGTTTGGACGAGATAAATCGCAAATTCATTGCAGTATGCCAGACCAGAGATGCAAGCCTACTCAGTTGAGTGGGCGGGGTCTATGGTCTGGAACCAGGCTACCCACATCCTCCAACACCACCAAAGTAAACTCCTGTTTCCAGGATAATTTAAATGATCAGTTGTTCTTCAGCTCATTCACTTTGTTTTTTCCTGCCACCATTTTCTTGTAGGTGCCTGATTGGTACTGCATGTGCAACTCTTAACAGAGATGAGAAGACGATGAAGATGAGAAGAAAGCAAGATGGCTCATTCCTTAGCTACGTCCATCATCAGCTCTCCATCAAGCAATTAAGTCTCTACATTTACTAGTCCGATGTGGCATTTTACTTGCCCTGGTTAATCGGTCAATTCACCTTGTTAAACCTTGCATTAAATATGATATTTCGAAGAATGAACCAAGGCATTTTTCTCACAACGATTGTGGTGTACAGAAAATGTTTTTAGTTTTGCAACAGTAAATACTTTTTTGAAAGGCACTGACAAATGATGTCTCCCAGATAAATAGAAAATGTGTTGTTCTTGACAGAAGGTATGAATAATGTATTTTGTATGTTAGTTTGGAAGACTTCTTTAACTATGTATGCATATTTTCAATTGATGCATAAAACCATGCCACCTCCTCAAAAAGTGGAAATACCAAATAATAATGTCAAATAATGCTCAGCTAAGTTTGAAGTTGGTGTATGAATTAAAAAAACACAACTTGAGAGAAAAAAATGAAAAAAGGTTAGCATTTCTGCAAACCATGGCAACATATTCTCCCTCCAACCTCATCAAGTATCGACGTTTGGTCACAGACTTTCCACGTCCAGATATGACATACAAAGTACCCTGGGTGTGTTGGTTTTTGGCATTCTAGAACGCTGTGTAAGGTTCTGCCTGTTGCATGCATTGTCTGTTTTTAAAATACACTTCAGTTTTCACAGGACATATACAGTTTGCATACAGTCTCTTTCAAAATAAACACACTTTTTTTTTTCCTTCAACAACCAGCGCACGTGGTTAGGTTTAGGAAAAAAGAACAGGTTTGACTTCACTATCTTCTGGGAAGCAAACACCGGCCTCACTGGTGAAAGTCGGTGGTTGTTGGACTCATCTACCACCCCTCCCACCTGCCCTACTCAGATTTTCACTGCCTTCACTTTTGTTCTTGTCCTGCTGTGTTTCCCCCTGACAATGCCGGGTGCCGTCAAACTATAACTGCAACTGGCCGCATTTCATGTCGATATGAAAGGACAGCTTTTTTGTTGGTTTCTGCTGCCGGATGTCACTTCCCAAGCGCCGGATTTCGACAACTTTGGGCTGAGACTGGGTTGACCATGGATACGTTAGGCTACATTTGCATGCTATTATGTAGAGGATCGTCAAGAAACTTTATGTTTAAGAGTGCTGTGGTTAATGTGTAGTTAGGCTTTGGCACAAAAGCCACTGAGTTGTGGTTCAGAAAAGATTAATATGTTTTGACTAAAAATACAATGAATAACCAGTTTTGTTGGCTGTTGGTCTGTAGCGGTGTTCTGCAGCTTGGTAGATGTCTCAGCTGGGTGTCACACCATCCAACATCCCCTCCACCTCATAATGACAAAGTCATTTTCGAATCTTTGATATGATAAGAATGAAACCTGCAAATGTTACATGTTTGTGGTTTGTAGAGATGTACCCTTCCAACATTTTCTTCTGGCCACTGGGCTGAACCAAAATGCTACAAAGTGGAAAGTGACTTTGCCGATAAATCAAGTTGAACAAGAGACACTCACAAGCTTGCTCTCCAATGAAGACATGAAAGATAGTGGCAGGTAAAAACATCATATCAGTAAGGAGTGATGAGGAGGCTGTATTGTTCCTCATACCAGTACATTATAAATATATAGAACATATTTCCATTATGTTTTCCGCTGTTGGATGTTTTGCTGCTCTTATTCTGCAATGGCTCAATAGCACTGGACTAGAGAATTTGCACCATTGTGCATCATTTATTTCAAAGCACCAACTTCTATTGTCCATATCGCAGTAGTGTCTGGAGGTGAACATTCATTCATATTTTATTTTGTCAAATTATGAGAAATCTGTAAAAAATGTGTACAGTTTCTTAAATGAAAATGTGACTTGTTGAATGGCTTCACTTGCCCAAATGAACCAAAACTGCTGCAATATATTTCCACTCGAACGAGCCACCCAAATCCAATGAGAGTGCACACTGACCTTCTGAAAATAGACTGCATGATTCAATCAGTACTTTCACTTAGATCTCCCAGTGTGCCAAAGTTTTGGCTGTTATGATGTATTCATATCCTAAAAATGCATTCAGGAATTTCACAAATTACTTCCTTCTATCTTGAACTTCAGAAATGTTACATGTAAGTGCAATTTACAAAAACCTTTGTGATTATTTCCAGGGACAAAATCTCAACAGTATTTGTTTGAAAGGTTAGACATCTACTCAGAGCTTTTTGTGAATTTAACACATTATACTTCTTTCACTTTTTCCTTCTTTGCTACTCCCCCCAAAGTCTTCATAACACTTTCACAAAAACAACTTAAAAGTGATATTTCTCTGCAAGTATCCCCCTCTGAAGCTGTGGGGATTATTTTTCAGGTACCTAATTCCACTGAACTGTGATTGACACTCTCAAATTCACCTCACTGTGTGGATGAATTCACCGTGAACTCTAAAACCACGTAATAATATGCAAAACTGTTTGGAGGTTTGGGTGAAGTTTACCTTGGAGATGCTTTTATGCATTACACATAACACTTGAGTGAAAAATAATGAACTGCCGCCTCTTGTTACCATGGAAGGAAAACACATCCAGACTGTTTTTCCTGCTCATAGTTTTATTTTGTAACTTTAAAGATTCTACTTTAAGCTGGACGATGATGATTTTAGACCTTTTTTGTAATGTCTTTGTACCTTGAGGAGAGTTTTATCACAGCAAAGCTGTCACTTATCAATGTTCCTTCCCTTATATGCTGTAAACATATTCATTGGTACACTTGCATCTGTATTCACCGGCGCGCTTTCATCTATATTCACTGGTCCATCTTTTCTCAGGCACGCTAAAACACACTGCTGGCTGTGTCGTAGGCCTTGCTAATGTGGGAAGTGCTAGGCAGGGACTTGAGGTACTCCATGTGCCTCCTGGCGTCCTCCTGGTTGTGTCTGATGTAGTAAATGATATAAGCCGTCACCATGGAGAACCAGCAGAACATGGCCACGAACATGGCCACATCTGTTGTCTTGTGGTGGAAGTTGCAAAAGTTGATGCCCGAGTCCAGGACTTGGATTACTGGCTGTCCCACGTACTCCTCCTGCACCGATGTGTAGCAGCTGACGTCGTTCACCGTGTCGGGGTCGAGCCTCAGCTCCCTCAGCACCTCCTGCAGAGAGCACTCGCAGTGCCAGGGGTTGTGGGATAATCGCACGCGGGCATGGAGCTTGGCAAAGGTGTCCTTGGGGAGGCTGCTGAGGTGGTTGTTTGAAAGATCCAACGTCCGCAGGCTGTCAGAAATTCCTTGGAAGGCACCGACCTCCATGCTCTCAATGGCATTGTGAGATAAGTCTAGTTCCCTGAGGCGGTGGAGGTCTGTGAAGGTCTCCTTTGGGATGTGTCTGATTCGGTTAGATGAAAGCAAAAGAACAACAGTGTCCTTGGGCAAGTTCGGTGGGATGTTCTCTAAGTTGCGTGAGGTGCACTGCACCACCACGCCGTTCCTGTCCGTGCAGTGACAGATATTAGGGCAAGCATACGCAGTCATAATCAGAGACAGAAGCAAAGTTCCCACAAGAAAAAGAGAACCACAGGAAGGAGGTTTTATAGATGACCTACAACTGTAAGAGGCCCCCATTAGCGGACTGAAATCAGCCCTGGTTAAAACAACTCAAGGGGTTTGCGTTTGTGGGGGTTTCTTTAGGTACTGGTAAGATATGAAATACAATCCAGGAAGTCCGGTTTGAGTAATAAATCCATGAATTTAATGGCTTATCGGATGCCAAAAGGCAGTGTTTTAAAACTCCAGCCAAGTTCAGCTTTCCTGCCAGACAACCCTGCAGATTTTTGCTGGAGCCTTCTGCGTTGGCATTGCGTCATCGGCCTCATTCAAACTTTTTTTTCTTAACGCAGAGCTAAAATCCATCTGAACTTGACCTTTCGTCTGGGTATTAATGGCTAAAGTTTCATCCTCAGGGCACTTTCCAGCATTCACTCAGACATTATTGTTCATCATATACCTCAACAGTTATGGAATTCCCAGCCCTGATCCAACAAAAAAGGAGAACATGGGCAAAGGTTTGCATTCTAACTAAATAAGATGTCAGAGAGCAGTGCCGCCGAGGAGAAAGGGAAGGTCGTGGCTGTGAATCCAGGGTGGAAGGGGGCATGTCTTCTTGGCTGATTGGAAGCTAGAAAAAGAGAGAAAAAGAGAAAAAGATGGAGAGATAAAAGGTGCGAGAGAGGAAATGTCAAATCTCATGAAAGTTCATCTTCAGTTATGTCTTTATTTGCCTGCTACGGCTAAAAAAGCTGTTAAAACCTGCGATGATGTGAATTTAAAGACAACTCTTACATGCTTTTGTGTTAATTTTCTGGTCCCATGATCTCCCACCACATATCCAGAGAACTTTCCACACCATCTCCCCTTTTCAGACACCTTCCTCCTCCGAGGGGAAGCCAGTAAAGTTCAGCATTATCATAATAATAGCATGTTTCTATAGAATGGGTTCGGGATTGGTCCCGTTGAGGAAATGCCATTAAACAAGGTGTGAGCTCATCAATATGCAAAAGATGAACTTTGAAACAGTGATATGTGATTAAATTTAAAAAAAAACCCAAAAAAAACCCCAAACAAACCTGTACTCTATCAGATTAACAGGGATGCATGTGAGAGCAGTGAAGGTGAGAATGCAAATGAAAGCAACTGTAGGACACAATGGGAGATAACAATGCAAAGAGCAACAGATAAGCAAGACAGCTCCTGGATCAAGATGATGAATGTCACACAAGCTGTTTAGAAATATTTTCAGATTTCTCAAGGGATTGTAGAGTAATATAAATATTGATGAGCTAAAAAGTCTCAGTAAAACTATGTCACTGTAGGAGTATTATAGAAATGTTATTGGAGGTGCAAAAGATCAGAGATGGGACCAAATCACACATGTGCAAGTCTCAAGTAAGTCTCAAGTCTTAACCTTCAAGTCTCAAGTAAGTCCCAAGTCATTTTTTCTTGGGCAAGTCAAGTCAAGTCAAGTCAAGTCAAGTCCTGTAATAGGTCAAGTCAAGTCCAAGTCAAGTCACCTTATTATTGTAATTGTACCTGCAGAATCTGATCTTAATAAAGTGAAAAGACAAGATATAAGTAACTGTCAGTAAACATTGATTTCATCGCTGCAATGTTTACTTTGCAGGGACGACCCCCATGCGCGTGCGCACGCACGCACACACACACACACACACACACACACACACACACACCCATTTAGCTCATTTAACCCTGTGTTGCTCGTTCATAAAATGTACAGCTGGTCTTGTGGTACGTAGAGAGGGCATGACTGATTGACAGGGCAGTGATCCAATCATGACAACGCCATTCTCAGCCTGCGCTCCTACCGGGTAATCAACATTATTTTTTAAATTAATTTATTAATTTTATATTCTAACTGAAAACATGATGTGAATAACACTCAAGTCATTCAAGTCATTGTGTCTCAAGTCAAGTCCCGAGTCTTTAACTTCCAAATCCGAGTCAAGTCTCAAGTCTTTTATTTTTTGGCAAGTCAAGTCACAAGTCATCAAAACAGCGACTCGAGTCGACTCGAGTCCAAGTCACAATGACTCGAGTCCCCATCTCTGCAAAAGACAGATTAGGATAATCAATAACCAGACAGCACAATATAGGATGTACTCTAATCTAGGAGTAAAATATAATGAAAGTATGATATTGCAGTTATTAACCTCCTTATTCAATAAGGGAGATGAAACCTTTATGGTGAGACAATTGGATTTCCACTGGATGCGTGTCCGTTGCGGAACGGCAGCGCAGGTTATCCGCTGCGTGCTCCGCCGTCCGTCAAATGGTGTTAACGGGGTGAAATGACGTCTGAAAACCTCTGACCTGTTGACTTCAGGTCTTATGTAGTTTTCAAGGTGTAGTGCAGGGAAATATGATCCGCCGTGAACACTGTGTATTTTGTTTTGAAAATTAACCGGATGTTTTTTCGTGTTTCTGTGCACGACTTGCTGCCCCGCACGATCTGCTCTGTGCTGAATTGCTGCGTTGTTCTCCAGCGTCCGGCAAAAATAGAAGTTCTGCGTATCTGTTGCGGAGGGCTCCGGAGTGCCGGAGCTGAGACGGAGCCGGAACGCAGCACAGCCGCAGCTGGTGGAAACACACACATTGACTAGAATTGAATCCTATCGGCTCCGCTGCTGCGCCGGAGCGCAGACGCAACCAACACGCATCTGGTGGAAATAGTTAGTTAATAGATAAGTTGTTCAACAAATAGATAAACAGATAGAGAAAAGATGTCTGGTTCCAGCTTTCTTTCGGGTTCAAAATATGAATATTTGCTAATTTTCTATGATATTTAATAACTTATTTATTATTAACCTTTATTAAATTTATTTATTTATTTTAGAAAGAATATCCCATTTCTAGCTCCCTTTGCGTTCAAAATATGAATATTTGCTGGTCCTCTATGATATTTTTTAAATTTATCTATTTATTTTTGCAAAAAATATCTGGTTCCGGCTTTCTTTTGGGTTCAAAATATGAATATTTACTAATTTGCTATGATTTTTTTTTTTACTTATTTATTTATTTTAGCAAAAAATAACTGGTTCCAGCTGTCCTTTGGGTTCAAAATATGAATATTTGCTAATTGTCTATGGTATTTATTTACTTATTTACCTATTTTGGCAAAAAAAAAAAAAAAAAAAAGAAAAAAAGAAAAAAGATAATAACAATAATAAAAAAAATCTGGTTTCAGCCTTCTTTTGGGCTCAAAATATGAATATTTGCTCATATAATTTGATATTTATTTGCTTATTTATTTATTTTAGCAAAAAATAACTGGTTCCAGCTGTCCTTTGGGTTCAAAATATGAATATTTGCTAATTTTCTATTATATTTCTTTACTCAGGCCTATTTCAGCAAAATAATAACTGGTTCCAGCTTTCTCTCGGATTCAAAATATGAATATCAGCTAATTTTCTATGATATTTATTTACTTATTTATTTATTTTAGCATAAATGAACTAGTTCCAGCTACATTCTGCTTCTAAATATGAATATGTGCTGCCTTTCTGCGAAAATAAATGTGGTTGTGCTTTGGAGATTTTGAAGATGTCAGTTTGCTCTCTGGGAAAACCCAAATGTAATGGAATGGATTAATAATTGATTCATCAATCTAGAAAACAATCAGCAGAGTAATCGATGATGAAAATAAATAGTTGCAGCCCTAAAATCACTCTAAACAAAGTCTCCTAAAGTTCACTTAAGAATAGGTCTATTATAAAATATATCTTACTGAGAATTTTTCACAGTGGTATGTAAATTATGACGTCCATTGCTGATAAACTGATCTTAAAATGAACAACCATTGCTAGAAACCTGTTTTACTACTTGCATAATAATTCAATCACTGCCAAAACTGCACCGCGGCAATAAATGAGTGTTACTTAGAGGTGAGTTTAATTAGAGTCGACACCTACCTGACCTGATAGCTCCACTCTGTCCGGTTCACATCACCGTGCAGTCACCGGGAGAGCTTCTCTCTTTTGATGATGAGACATCCAGGAATAAATAGATACCCGCAGGAAACCATCCTTTGCAAATAAACGCACGCCTGCGGTGATTATCGCTGAGAATCACAGAGTCAGTCAAAGAGTCCGGATCCAACTGTTTGATCGCAGTTTCAAACCTCCTGTCAGTGCAGCTTTGCAGCAGCTGTGTGTCTGTCGGTGTGTGTGTGTGTGTGTGTGTGTGTGTGTGTGTGTGTGTGTGTGTGTGGATATGCGCAGCGGCGCAGCAGTTGTACCGCTGTGGTCCCTGTGATCCTCTCACTCCGTTAAACGGGATCCCTGCTGATTCAGTGCTGAACCTGCGACTCACCGGGAGCACTACTGTTACTAACCCCACCCCCCTACACACACTCTAACTTTCTGACGGCACGACACTATCCACAGATTATCATCCACTCTGTCAGAACCCATCAATATGATGGCAATATCTTTTCCCCCAGTGGTGGAAGAAGTAGTCTGATCTTCTAGTTGAGTAAAATAAGCAATAGCACAGTGTAAAAATACTCTGATAGCCTACATGTGAAAGTCGTGCATTCAAAATGTTCCTGACATAAATTATTAGCATCAAAATATACTCTAGATATAAAGAAAAACTGACTCATTTTTGCAGAATGGCCCATTTCAGAATCATATTTATTACATTACTAGATTGTATTGATGCATTAACGTATTTATCACTTTAATGTTGTAGGTGTTAAAGTTGGACCTAATTTTAATTACCTCAAACAGTCAGTAGTTTTATCTATCAGGGATGCACATTAGATTTTTGCCGATATCCGATTTGCCGATATATAACAACTAATTTGGCCAATAACCAATACTGATAATAATATATAGCCACTTCTTTCCCTACCTAATTTTAGTGACCATCAAGTCTCTTCTGTAGTGACATCATATTATGCATGTATTCTATTATCGTGATGCAGATGGAGACATGAAAAACAATACATTTCACTGTAAGTAATTTTCATTAATTGTGCAAAATAAGGAAAAAGCATGGTGGCTAACCCAGTCTCACTCTGAAGTCCTCAAAATCTGGCACTTGGGCAG